GAGTGGACCCTACAAGAGCAAAACAGCACAGACAGAGGCGTTAGGGGGCGGGGAAAAGCACACGGCACAGCCCATTGGACAAGCTGCTGCACAAGAAAACACCGCGACCAATCAGTGAACAGATACAGAATCAGGTGCAGGGAGGCTTCATCTGTGATATCATGAGGTGTTGTGTTGGTGAGTGACCTGTTTGAATGGCTCCTGAGCTAAAAAGGCCTTCAAGCTTGGACTCTAAAGAAACATTATGGGACTAAATGTCCTACTTTAAAAACCCCATGAAATGGTAAGATGAGCACAATGTTCGTTTATTCTTTCCTGGCTTATTTCCTATTGAAACAGGGAGTTAGTTTGGGACAAACTGAAGACAGCTGAATTCACACTTGACTACTTATGAATGAAAGCAATGTACTCTTCACATTCAGCTCTGGAGGACCTCTCACCACCATCTTCACCTTTGATATCTGAGGCAAGATTGGAGGGTAAAGCTCATGGTTATCACCACTAATGCCAGCTGTCAGTTCAGTTGCTTCTGTTGTAACATTAGAAGGGGGACAAGTATTATTTATAATAAGGGACATTCGTATTGTATCGAGCAGTTTATTGGACAATAAACCATACAGGGCAGATGACCTCAGAGCTAATAGTATGTAATACATGGACTAAAATATGCAAAAGAAATCTATCGTATCTCTTGCTCTGGCTACTGTGTATAGACCACCAGGGCCGTATACAGATTTCCTAACTGGCTTATTTCCTATTGAAACAGGGAGTTAGTTTGGGACAAACTGAAGACAGCTGAATTCACACTTGACTACTTATGAATGAAAGCAATGTACTCTTCACATTCAGCTCTGGAGGACCTCTCACCACCATCTTCACCTTTGATATCTGAGGCAAGATTGGAGGGTAAAGCTCATGGTTATCACCACTAATGCCAGCTGTCAGTTCAGTTGCTTCTGTTGTAACATTAGAAGGGGGACAAGTATTATTTATAATAAGGGACATTCGTATTGTATCGAGTAGTTTATTGGACAATAAACCATACAGGGCAGATGACCTCAGAGCTAATAGTATGTAATACATGGACTAAAATCCACAACATTGTAACTCTGATTTCATGGGGTCTGTAAAAGTCAGGACTACATAACTGAATCATTGCTGACAATCGTTTGTCATCATATTTGGTACGTGTCTGTGGCAGTGAGTGAAAATACTGAGCATGTAAGACTAAAACTGATCTTCTCCTAAGCCTCCACTTTTAGAAGCATCACCATTTAAAACCAACAACAAACATCTTGGATGCATTAAAAAAAAAAGATCCATCTCAGTAAGCACAGTTATTTACAAGTGACTATTGTAAACAGGATTTCCATTGAGCTTTAAAAATGTCCTACTGTACAAATAACATCTAACATTTAAACACAGGAATAGTATAAATAAAACTAAATTGAAGCATTACTATTGAAACATGAATACTATTAAAAGTGCTGCATGCTACTTTTTAAATTACAAAGGGGGGAAAAAAGAGAGAATTTTTCACACAATGAAGGTTAGAATAATGACCAAATCATATACTTTTGACAAGGAGGGAGACCAAGTATAAAAAGAAATGGGCTTCCTAATCATAGTTATGACGCACTGGTCATGTTCAATTCATGTTTTTGTCCAAAATGAACCCTCAAAATGAACAAAATACTACAAACTGTAACAGAAACACAAGGTAAATATAATATGCTTCTTGAACCGCATCATATTATAATCATGCAGGTGACAGCCAGAGAACAAGAAGTGAGATAAAACAAAATAAAAAATACGGCCCTGATGTTCTTCACAGCAACCTGCTCGTGCCCTTGGCATGCTCGTCTTCTGACTCCAAACATGACATCGCACCTCAATCATCGTCTCATTGGGATTTTACGTGGAATGAAAATGAAAGAAGGCACCGATATACAGACGATACAAAAGCTTTGGCAGACATCCATACACTCTCTCTGCTTTCAGTGAAATGTTGAGAATGGCCATGTTTGAGGAAAGACAGCTCATGTTATCAGTCAAAGCTACAGCCCAGCACAAAGCGTTTGTACAGAAGACAAACTGAAGGCCAGATGAGCAGACATCCAGCTCGTTCCACGAACACGATACACTGTGGCACAAATCTCAAAATGTTTTTTATGAGAGCTTCTGGATATACAGGATAAACTATTATCTAATCATTTAGATCTTTCTACATACAGTATGGAGGACAGCGAGGTAAATAATCCATTTTCTTGTGTACTTTTGACTGCATTTGTCAAGCTTAACCATTCAACTTTGAAAGAATAAATGATCAAACTAATATTTTCTTTCAATTTAAAGTAAATATAAGTTCATCAAAAACTACAAGCCGAAATTTGCTCCCAAACTAGGAGCTTTGCACCCTACTGAGTGACAGCTTCATTTAGGATTTAGGAAGCCTGCAACCCTGCTACCTATGATTTAATTTGATGTATTTTATTTTATATTTATTATGTTTTTTAAGCTGCATTTTAACTGTAGACTGTTCACATTTACTTTGACCTCATGAGGTTGACAATTACTATTTTACGGAATATTACGCACCTCGTTTCACTTTTTATGTTTCAGACCCTATTTTGTACCGTATTCATGGGAAGTGCCATCTGAAATGAAGATGAAAATGTAATGGCTGAAAATGCCTGATGATCACTGAATGAGTGTGTGCATGAGTAATGGATGTGAACATGACAGAAATGCAGTACAGAATAACCAAAGCAAAATCACGAAAGAAGAGCAGAAAGAAACAGGGCAAAGGGAATTATGGGTAATAGAAGAAAAGTAGAACAAATACAAACAGATGGACATAGACACGGGTCCACTGAGGAATCTAGTGCGTGGTTTGCTACTAGATTTATAGGTGATTCGCTCAGATGTTTGGTGGTAAACGGTCCAGCCTGTGGAGAAATGAATATAAGAGGGAGAGAGAGAGAAAGAGAGAGACAGGTGTAACAGCCGACACAGGCAGCGATCAGATCAGTACCCCATCAGAGAGAGAGAGAGAGAGAGAGAGACAGGTGTAACAGCCGACACAGGCAGCGGTCAGATCAGTACCCCATCAACAAGCATCATATCAGCAACACGCCACAACACTGGTTAAGTGTCTCAGAAAACAGCGGTTAATGTAGATGTGGAAGTGTTGTTTCTAACAATGGGAATGCTTTTCTGCAGTCTATATAACAGTCCTCTTATGCATCACTAGACATTTTCACACATGAAATCCATATACGGGCAAAGAACTGTAAAATTGCCATACAGTATTAACCATTCACTCCAAGAAGATTAGCTGGTTTTACTTGTAACTACACCATTATGCAACTATGTCTTCTAGGGGTGGGCGATATGACCAAAATCTTATTTCACGGTATGAGAAATTTTATTTCACGATAACGATATATATATTTTACGATATATATATTTTTTGTTATTAAAAATACGAAAAAGCAGCAAATTATTTAAAATGTTGTAAGAAATTTTACAGAAATTGAATGAAGTGTATAAATAAAACACTGCAAAGTCTTCACTGTATCAATCAAACATGAACTGATTCTTATTAAAGATCCAAAAGTGATTCAGTCAAGTGCAGTGAGTGATTAACATTAATAATGACAGACAGCAGCAGGTGAATTAGACTGCTGTCACTTTAAGACAGACTGCATGGATCCAATATACTGAAACACATCCGGTTTTCACCCAGCTGTTTACGTTTATTTAATACATAACCGACTGTGTTTATGTGAATACTGCACACGACGGGCATTTTGACATAATTGTGTGCGTATTTGACCATTCAAGCACGAAAGAGATCTGTTTTCGCGACCGCATGCTGTCTGAGAGAGGCTTTCAGTGCGCGCGCTTCGGCTGCATGTCAGTCAGCGTGAGCAGCGGATTGAGTTCTTTTTCACTGCTTATTGCACTTAATAACTTTATTAAACATCATGCAAGTCCCAAATTCGCGATCGCATGCTGAGAGAGGCGCTTTCTGAGTGTGTGCTTTGTGTGTCAGTCAGTGCGAGCACCACATTGCACTTGTTAACTCTATCAAGTGCATCTCACTCTTTATTTTCTCATTCATGCATGTTTCCTCGTCACTCCAAGGTGTATATAACTTTTAAGCAGTACTGTGTTAAGCAGATATATTTGCATACCGCCTAACGATAGACATTTTATTCCGTGGTAACGATATATATACTGTCATACCGCCCAGCCCTAATGTCTTCTGATGCAAATATTTAATTTTACTACAGTAGATATATTACCTTTTTTCCTGTCACTTCACTGCTCAGTCCCTAGTAAAGTGTTGGGGTCAGCATGTTACGATGCATCAGTAACTGACATTCCAAGTGTGTCTGAAGCCCATATTGAATTTGGCTGGCCTATTTTGTGCAGTGTTTTTCTCCAGTGAAGTTTACATTTGAAGAACTGTGCCCAAGCCCAGAAGCTTACGATAAAATGTCTTTCGGTTAGGATGATGCTTTTCCTACTGCCACTTCGTGGGGTGTTTGGCAGCGGACCGATTGACGTTGCCAGGAAAAAAAGTGGACAGGAAGCCTGGCCAGTGTCTTTTTTCTTAGCTTTGGGAAATGGCGACATGTGTCACGGATGAATTAAAGCGGGCAGGATGCGCCCAGCCAGAAGTGCAGTCTAAGTTCAACAAATGCCATAGTGTGCGTCGGCCTTGCAGGATCACAAACACACAACCTCAAAGCTATCTCTGACATGATGGAGCAGGGGTATGTTGAAATGCCTATGTTTGAAGAGATGCTTATTTCTTGTATCTCTCACCATCTTCAGCCCCATCTTTGAAGTGGTGTTGTCTAAGTGGCCTACTTTGTTGTCTAAGCCCTGCAGGACTACACCAGCCCTGAACAATAATATGGCTGCCAGTCAAGTGGGAGCGGCATTGCATACAATGGTGATATTGCAGGCGTACCAAGCTGATGACCTTAAAGATATGGATGAAATTTCTTGCTTGACTCCCGAGACAGTCAAAGAGCTCAGCTGAACAACTGAAATGGCGCGTTAAGTCAATAAGCATTTGGCTCGCACAATCCGTTGTTCTATGAGAGGTGACCGAGAGACAACTGTGGTTCAACCTCACAGATATCCATGAGAAACAGAAATCGGTTGGGTGCTCCTGTTGCTTAGTTGAGGCATTTCGCAGACACAGTGAATGCTGTTGTCGTTAAGTTTCCCACTGCAAAGAAACAATCTACTGCTTTTCAGCAAACGATTCCCCGCGGGTTCAAGAGCCTGTGGCGCCTGTGAGACAATACTGTTCCAGCTCTCTGCAGTTTCCTCAAGAGGAGCTGAGAAGCAGCCAGGTAGTCTGGACTCCGCCTAAAAAGGACTGGGGTCAGTGGCCTTGCTCAGCAGCCAATTTGTGCTTCCTTGACCTACTGTGCCAAAGGGCTCCTCCTGTGTCCATTAACCATTAACGCCTAATTGCTTTTCTCCTCACTGCCCTTGAGATTCTGTTCTGCCAGTTTCTCTGCGTTTTCCATCTTGGCGAACAGCAGATTAACAGCTCCTCACTCATATTCTGTGCAACAACACCTTCAGAGCACAGGACTCTCGCCTCGAGTCACACGTTTACAATGATTCTCCTGTTTTGTGACAGGTTTTTGGGAAGGCCTGCAACAGATAGAGAGGTATTCTATACCCCTCCTATCTCATGGCTTTCACTATTCTGTGCAATGTCAGACAAAAACTTCGGCTCATATGGGCCGTAACATTTGCATGGTCGACCAAAGTCCTCTTTCATAGGCTTCATCTGTAGAACCACAGAAAACCATCTGTAGAACTCTTCCATAGAAAAGGGGTATACCATCCTGCCTGCCTCATCACAATGTCAGGTGTGTCCTGGTGGTTCAGATTTTTTTTGCGGAAGCCATAGATGAAGTGTGTCCATCGCAGAGGGAATCTAGTTTCTACAGCAGTTTTTCCTAGTGCTGTCCAACAGTGGTTTGATTCCAATCCTAGACCTGCATCTACTAAACTTTACTATCAGAAAGTGCAGTTTCAGAATGTTGACACAGATGCACTGAAACACAGGAAAGCAACTCCAGGGCAAACATGCTTTGAATTACCTTGACGATTGGCTGATTTTGACAAGGCTGTTCTCGATCACCAACAGAAGCTGGGTCTGAAAATAAACCTTCAGAAGAGCGTTTTGTTGTCGGGGAAACAGACTGCTTTTCTGGGGGTAGATATGAATTCATACACAATGTGCAAATGAGACTGTCTATTGCTCATGTCCATTCGTTTCGCTTTTGTCCGAATCAATTCGGACAATTCCTGTATTCCTGCAAGTCTGTTTTGCAGACTTCTGGGTCTCCTGTCCATGGCCTCACCGATGGTAGCACTGGGTCTATCCCACATGAGGCTGTTTCAGTGGTGGGTCAACAGCTGAGGAGTTTGTCCCGGTTGGCATCCTCACTGCACTAAAGGGGTTACACGCAAATGCTATTGGACCCTGTTAACTCGGAAACATCCCCGGTTGTTGACTCTGGTGGTACCTTTGGGGTGGATTCTGTCAACACAAGAATTATGACAAAAGCCTTGTCAGTAGTCAACAAAGGTCCCCAGTTTATGAAGGTGTGCCGAGTCTGAAAGGGCTAACATCTCATGCGGTACATAAATGGGGATGATGCCGCTATGCCTACTTTTGAGCCATTTCCTTCTGAACAACTGAAGCTGTCATGTGGGGGTCTGTAACATGTAGTTTCTTACATAAATCACCAGGGGTTTTCTTCAGTAACTTTCTTATTTTTGGGGCTTTTGCATAGAGGGGACTGGAAATGAAATCATGAAATGACATGAGCCGGATTCAAACTTAGGTTGCTGCATAAGCACCACTGCAACAGAGTATGTGCCGTTTGTGCCACATTTCTGGCACAAAGCATTCATATTGCAGATTTGTTTACACATGACATAAATACAGAACTTTTGTGGCAATGACCCAACTCCTTGAAATACAGAAGATCAATTGCTTTTCTGCTCACACATGACCTCTAGATAGAGATATTTATGGCAATAACTGAACGTGTGAAAATGTCTACTGATCCAAAAGAATGATGTTTCAGACATAGTATGAGCATCATGCAATCCTTTTAACTTTCTTAGCTGTACATGAAATCATGTCATGTGACTGAGCCATTAGGCAGCCGTTTAAATGTCACATTATGCCCGATTCCATTTAAACGAAGTAAATGAGTGGAGCGCACATGAGAGACTGTGAAAGTTGGCAGTAATCCCATTCGTGTGAGTGAGAAATGTGACAAAAAAAGACAGGAGAAAGACATGATAATCTAGAACAGGGGTTTTCAACCTGTGGGGCGCGCCTGTCAAGGGGGGCGTGAGCATCAGTTAATTCAGAGACGTTCCCTTGAGAATTTATGAATATGAGTTAACAAATCTTTAGCCATCCACTAGGGGGCAATCTGACTCCCACTGCTAGTCGACAGTTAGAGCAGAGTTGGCTCGAGTATCAGTCACGCTCAATGTTGCCAAGTAAATTGGGCTACTTTAACACTTGCCGCGTTTTGTAGTTTTGGGCTAGTTTTGAGTAGCAATTAGGTGGGTTTTGTTGTGAAAACCTGGCAACCCTGGTCACGCTTATTGACAGTGTAAAATTATTTACGATTAGCCGTGTCAGAAATCCAACCACGGATTGGCATGTTGTTATCTCAGAAACAGGCTCAGCCATCACATTGAATCAGGTAAACTGGTTATATATTTATGTTTCAGTTTCAGTATAATTACGCACGCTATACCAGGG